GAGAAATTACCTGTTGAAGGAACCACGGATTAAGAAACAATGACGCGTCTATAGGGCGGCCACACCAATCCGACACGTTTTTCGAATGCTAAAATCAAACCAAAAAATGGAATTATTCATTTTGAGTGATAAATGATAATCTTATTTGCAATATCCTCCACAGTTCAGCTGCTTAGGCTGGCATTTGTGTATGGTTAATGAACATTATAATCATTCTATTAATATATCCAGCCTGTCGTGTTTATGAAAGACTTTGCTCTGTGCTCATAACGCCCTCATTATTGTCAGTTTAAGGTGATTCCAACGAAAAGTTGCGTTCAACAAACAATTGCATTACAGCAGTGAATTCAGCGAAAAGCATTTCGTGATCTGCGTTCGAGAACTGATACTTCTTGATGTAGGCTTGCAATGATGAACGGAAATTGTCCGCTCCAAGCACCGAGTAAATCATTCGCAGCACTGATGCACCTTTTCCATAGGTTATTACTGAAGAAAACGATCAGTCTGAAGTAACGTTAAACACCACATCGTATCAAATCATCATGGTGTAATCCTACATAAGCTAGTGGTAATGTCGTGTCCCGTTATAAGGTTGTACTTAAGGATTCGACACAACCTCCTATTGTTGTCACTGTCATTACTATCATTATTATTACTCTGATTATTTGTTCATTAAAAGTCAGACTTACGATCGAATTCCGGTCCATTATACGCATACAAAGGATGTGAGCGTTTTATAATTGCATCAAGCCGAAGTGATGGTTGAATCCGTTGTGTTAACCATTTCGTTAGCTTCAGTTAGAAATTGAAAATAATCTCACTAATCGCAGCAGTTAAAATAATAGCAGCAATAAAAAACTAATAACAATGATTAAATTTTGTTGCTTTTATCTCATTGCCTACTCTTAGATTTCAGTAAAACAGTGCATGCCTTCACTTCATAAAGGAGAGGTGAAAAATTATAGTTGGGACTGGAACATAGAGATCAGTTTGAATAGAGAGAAATCACGCCGGATTCGATCAACAAGATTAGTTGATGAGTGCGAGAACATATTCGTGCCTTCTGCGTAGGTACTACAACGTGGGAAGGATATTTGAACATGGATAATGGTTGAAATTTCTAGGATAATTGCTATGTAATGCTAATAAACACAATAAACAAATACGTACTATGTACGGTTTCTGTTGTGGAATTGCCATGCGCATATTGAATCGCTCAAAGAAAGCTGCAAAACCCTCCTGAAGGAACAGATCATCCCACCACATCGCCGTCACCGTATCACCGAACCACTGATGCGCTAGCTCGTGACATATCACCTTTGCGGCCGCTTGTCGCGCATCCGTCGTCGAATCCTGAATTCAGCACAAATCCGGCATTAGTATCGAAAAAGTGACCTTCGAATGAATGTTGCCGATTCGCTTCTCGAAAGCTGAATATCATTCAGTGTCATTGATGAGCTGAATGAATTGAAAAATTTATTGTTGACAAACCAACCTTTGGATGAATTGCAACAAATTGGTATTTATAGATAATAAGACCGTAGTTCTCCATAGCACCCGCAACAAATTCCGGTAAACCGAGTTGATCTGAAAGTGAATTCGTACCTCGTTAAACAAGCTTCCTACCATATCAGTTCAGCACCATAATCAATGAAAAATTGCACGATTAGCATGAATGTTTTATTTGTTTCCTGAGAATTGCCAGTTGATATCTGGAAATAAGCATTATCGGTTAGCAACATTTTTTTTCTAAAAGCAGAGAATCTGTTATATCTGATGGTATGTAGAAATCATCCTGTTCCTGAGGATTTCTAAGGATATAGGTAGCATCAAAAGGGTACATCAGGACATTTCCATTGTAACAAACTATTGATCAACATAGAGATTAAATGCAAACATCTTGCAGCAATTGCGAAATCGCTCAGTTATATGAAATAGTTATTATCGGCTAGCAACGAAATCCTCTAAAAATCAGTTATACTTACAGAAATGAGCATTATTGGTCAACAGCATATGTTTTTTTTTCAAATCAGAGAATCTATTCCGTTTGACGAAATCTGCAAACTGTTATCGTCCACGAGGATACAGCAGGCGAATGAGATACTCCCTGCGTTCCCATGATTAAAATATTTGTTCAATACTGAAAAGAAACAGCTTCACCTGACTTTATGTATGGATAAGGGTAATTCAAGTACTCTCCCAGTGTGTGGAGACACTTTGCAGCGACATCAACTGCAAATGTGAGATAATCCTCCTGCCCGGTCCACCCCCAGATTCGAACCTTCAATGAACAAACAAATGAAGATGATTCCTATATAATACAAGGTTAGAGTGATAGATGGGGCATTTGCTAATAGGCAAAGACATCGATTTCTTGTGATTGTGGTGGTCATCGCCCCTGTTAGGTTTCCCAACCCGTTATTTTGTCACTTCTGCTTCCAAGGTTCTTCCTCTCCTATTTATGGAATCCAGAGTACTTGTACATACTTATGCAGAGG